CCTCCCTTCCTTCCTTCCTTCCTCCCTTCCTCCCTTCCTTCCTTCCTCCCTTTCTTCCTTCCTTCCTCCCTTTCTCTCTTTCCTTCCTTCCTTCCTTCCCTTTTTTGTCTTTATCATATCTTCAGTCACTCCCCTACCAAATTCTTTACCATGACAGTTATGTTATTGAGACACTTTCCCGATCACACATTTTTGACTCTTGCATTTCAGGTGTTCTTTGTTGGTGTCCTACCATCATAGCTGAGGAGTGGCCTGCTTGTTAGCTCGTCTGCAGCCCCTTCCTTAATCCTTGTCATCACATACACCTTTGTCGTCCTCTCCTCCATGTTCTGTCATCATCCTTGGCAGTAGATTAGCGATGACTTGCCCTCAGTAATCTGGATTCCTTGGGTGGAACCTTCCACTGAAGTGTGGTTCTAGTGCCTCCCCTTTTCCTGGCTGAATTAAGCTATTGGCAGAGCTAGTGCTTCTGAGAATTTTGCTTTCAAAATTCCAAGAATTTATGACTTCACATAGTTGCTTTTATGTCCTTGTACACCTTATCTCCCACCCGTAATGCCATGCCGTGTCCAGTGATCCCGTCCATGGTTTAATACGCATTTTTAAAAGCCTTCGTCTCCTGTGAATGCATTAAGTTGGAAAGTGGTGACATCAACAAAGCAGCCAACCAGTCCTAAGACCAGTAGCCTGTTGATGAGCAGAGCAGTGAGCACGCGGGGTAGTGCGGATCTCGCCCTCTGCCCGCCTCTGAGGCTGCCTGTGCTATCTCTTCAGTTAGCAACAGGTGTGACAAGCAGCCTGCCTCTGCCCCAACCACTACAGACCACCAGCCGCACCCCAACTACCCAGCCCAGAAGTGTAAGTATGACCCTGCCTCACGGGCGCTGCTGGGGGCCTCGCCCCGGCCCGCGGAAGGCTCGTGTTGTGTGTGTCTCTGTGTCTCCCTTTGTGAGCGTGTCTTCTGCTGGTCTTCTGAGCGGTGGGTCTCGCTTTGTCTGGTTCTTCTCAGCTGTGCCTCTGATGGCCGTCGGAATCCATACATAGCAGAGAGCTAGGGGCCAGAGCGTGTGGTCTGGCTTCTCGAATGGGCCTCATCCTCGCTCTTTTCACAAAGGGTCCTGGATGAACACTGATGGTCCTCTGTAGGGTGACTGGTCCTACCTGACCAGCGCCCTGTGTCCCGTCCACGGGAGGAGTTAGGCTCTGCACTTACACTCGGATGGCCAGCCTGGCTCTGGGGTGCAGATTCTGTGCCAAGCTCAGCACTGCTCCCACGTCTTCTAAGTGGCCCAGCTGGTCTCTGCCTTCACCAGAGCTGGGGACACTTCGTGCCACTTGCCTACACGGTTGTAGGCTTTTCTCTGTATGGTGATGACCATACGCTCCAGAGACCTTTTAGAGACCTGACGGTGTAGCCATCACAGATAGGGAGGAACATGTCAGAAGAGATAGATTCAGGATCCTTAAGACAATGACACCGTTGACCCCAGCTCTACCCATCACATGGTCATGGATGCAAGTGACTCAAAAGAGTTCTCTCCTGAGTCAATACAAGACTGGGGAGATCCTTATCATTCTCTTTGCTACTTATCTTCCAGAAACAGAACCTGGGGCCACACACACGCCTGCTGTATCAGCAGCTGATAAGCAAGCTCCTCCCCGAGGCGAAGATATGGTCCCTTGCTCACTCACTCTGATTATGTCTCTAAGCTTGACAGCGGATATATATAAATCAAATATTGTCACCCCACCTGAAAAAGTTATAAAAAAAGTTTTGTCCCAGTCTGTCTGAACTTGGTAAATGGTCTAAGATGTGCTGGGTTCTTGGCAACGTGCTGAGAGGCCTCTTAGCTGAGCCGCAGGGCTGGGCTGTTTCAAGTTCGACAGACACCTCATTTGGCTCTTCCTTCAGTTTCCTTGTATCTTAGCCAAGTTGGAGGTCCTTGTGATGCCTGCGTCCTTAAAGCTCCTTTAGGTCTTAGTCTGGTTCTGCGTCCTTCAGTGACCCTTAAGCTTGTCCTTACTGGGACCCAGCGGGTCTTGACCACTAAGCCCAGCTGGGCTTCGCCAGTCTGGTCCTCACCCCTCCCCTTTGGTGGTCCTCTCCTTTGGGTCATTTGATTGTAAGTCTGTTTTTCGCGGTGCCTGTAGACTGATTAAAGAAACCCACTCACAGAAGTAAGTAGATTGAATGCCAGCTTTCGGTGCCTTTTTTAGTGGCCAAGGTGGACCCAGGTGCATGGGGTGCTGGGTGTCTGGTCATGTAACAAGGGTGCACGGTTCCAGGTACCACACGAGGAGTGTCTTCCTCGATAATTTAGTACCTTTTCCACTCATCTTTATTCTCTCCAAGCATGATGCCCTACTGTGCTCCAACCAGCTGTTGTTAAATCTCCTCAAAACACCAAAATAAGTTGTTCTGCCTCGGTCCTTCGCAGACGCACAAATCCAGGGTGGTAGGCGGTGGCAGGACTCTGATCGTCTGTGTTGGGTGGAGTCATGGGCGGGGGGAGGTGGCTTCCAGGGGAGCAGGTGCAGATGGAGTTGGGGGATGCTTACGATCGCTGGAGGCGGGCTGGAGTGCTAACCGTCCCTTCCCGTTGCCTTCCCTCCCCAGACCATTCCCGGAGCAGTAAGTCCAGTTGCTGGAGCGGCAGCGATGAGAAACGAGGGTCCACCCGTTCTGAGCACAACACCAGCGCCAGCTCGAAGAGCCTCATCCCGAAAGAGTCTCGGCTGGACACCTTCTGGGACTAGGGACAAACTGGGACAAAAGCCACCCACCCCATGGAGGAAAAAAAAACCAGACACCAGGAAAACAGAAGACAGCAAAGAAATGTGAGACAGGAGAACAGCCGGCTTCAGGCTGGAGGGTGCCAGCCGTTCGGACTTGGCCTGGGCACCTGGACCGAAGGGCCGCCCACACTACGTCACGTCCAGCATTAGCCTTGACTGAGGAACTGTTCGACCCACGTGAAACCTATGCTTCAGATGTAAATAATGTATAATCTGTGGATGTCATCGAGCCTAGAGTACCTTCCCCTTTTTATATTTGTATTGACTTTAACTTATAAAAAAAATGAGAAAAACAATTAAAAAAATACACCCAACAACAAAAAGAATGGATGTTGGAGAAGGGACGTCTGCCAGCCCATCTGTTACCGTGTATGGAGAGGGCATGGGGATGGCTGTGGCACGCGGGTCCCCATCCTGGGACGCCCGGGGGTTAGGTTAGCCAGCCGCTTCCATTCACACGTCTGTACCCAGCACAGTAGGACCCGGAGTTCCCAGCACAGGTGCTGTGTGGTCATGGCCACATCCCACCCAGCCCTTGGCCCCTCTCAAATACTACGTTACTGTGTTATCAAAGGCAAGCTCTCTGGACCAGAAGGACACATGGAGGAGCTCGTTTATTTTGTGTGATTTCCGTGATGACTCTACTTGTAGAAAAGGGAAAAAAAAGAAAGAAAAAAAAAAAAGCCAACGTCCTTGTTTACAGAAGATCAAATAGAAACAAGGCCGGCTCAGCTCAGTGGCCGAAGCAAAGAACATACAAAACGTGTTAAGAGTCAGAAGCTCTGAAACACAGAGAAATCTTTCCTTTGCTTTGTGGTTCCTTTCAACACACTCACACCCACTTGGTAAGAGATGGCCTTGCTTCTCGGAGGCAAGACCCCAAAGGCAAGACGCACGCAGAGGACATTTGAGTCTGGGATGAAGCATGTATGTATTATTTATACGATGGAATTCCACGTTTTTATGTAAGCATGACACAGAGGCAGTGTGAGAGGGAGCAGGCACCGCCCTGCTGTCTGTTACACTACGTAGTACCATTTTGTATGTTGTGTAAAACAAGAAGCTTTGAACAAAGCAAAACAGGTGATGTATGTATATGAGAAAAATTAATTGTACGATATCATTCCAGTACCTTTTGTTGTACATTTTAGTCTCGTTTACTTTCTCTTCACTGTTGATAAGAGGATCCTGGATGTACAGTTTCCAGCTAGTTCCCCATATTAGAGAAAAAATAAAAAAGAGTATTAGAGGAAAATGGGAGAGAAAGAACGTTTGTGAATTGCAGTTGTCAAAACAAAACAAAAAAAATAGCCTAGCTGGCCTTATTTGTGAAGCATAATTGCTTTTAGCATATGGAAGTATTTTTTCACATTTTCTTTGTATAAAATTTGTATTAAACTTAAATATCTTTTTTGATGATGGTGTTTCTTTGTGACTGAGCCAGTGAACTCACACGGTATGCTCTTTTGGGTTCCCCCCACCCCCAATTTTTTCAGATTCTTCACCTTTTTTTAATTAAACTGTTTTGGAAAAATGGCTTGGTTGTCCTCGAATTTGCAGTTTTCCCTTTGGTCCGGATGGCTGCGTCAGGTTTGCACGACCAAACACAGGAGACGGGGCCACGAGGGGTCGGGCACCTCTCCTTGGGTGGTGGGCACGTTGTGAATAAGGGCCCTCGGTGGGCGCTTTTCCTGGGAAGTCCATTTCCTTGGAATTTACTGACAGGCAGAAACAGAAGGGCAACCCTGGATCAGTCTTGGGGAAACAGCGGGAGGGGAAGGCATTTTCTTTCTGTGGCCAGGAGGGTGGCCTGCGCTGATAGAGGGTGACCAGGCACACCCTGGTCATTCCATCTTCATGTGTCATCTAATGATTTTCATCATTTTTTGATGATGTTTCAACCATTTAGACATGTAAACACTATTCTCAGCTCAGGGCTGGACAAAAGCAGGGCAGGAACTGGGTTTGGCCTGTAGGCCATTGCTGAGCAGAGCTGGGAAAGGAACAAAATGGGGATCTTACAAGAGCTCCTTTGTTCCTCTTTGCAGGGGGAGGGAGCATCCTGTCATGTGGAAGGTGGCAGTGCAGGTCACAGCCCCCCGTTGACAGACATTCAGGTGGCCTGCAGACACCAGCCACGGCGAACAGACCTGTAGGACCCTCGTGTGCGAGTCGTGGGCTATATGAGGGACCCATGAGTGTCATCCCAAGTGACTGCACCTGGGGCTCAGTGAGCGGCCAGGTAAGAAAGGAAGGACTTGGAGGTTCCAGACAGAGCAGCCTTACCCCTGAGTTTAGTCTGGGTCAAGTATTCTCAGATGCCCAGTGACTCTGGATCTGTGAATGAGGAGGAGAATGAGGACACCATGCAGTCTGCCCAGGTCCTTGTTCCCTTCTCTTAGTGATGGGCGGGCCCAGGGCAGGGCGGGGCTGGCACAGCCAGGGGGGTGGGTCCTTCAATACAAAGGGGTAGCCTTTAATATAATCAGACTATCGCCACCTGGTGGCCCCTGTTTAGAACTGCAGCCCCCAGGGACGGAGCTGGACCAAGGGGAACTGGTGGAGGTTTATTCTGGCAACAGCTGCTTACTAAGCATCTGTGTGAACCAGGCGCTGGGGACACAGCCTCTGTCCTCATCCATCAGACACTCTCACTGGAAAGCAGTCTCGTGCATATGATAGAATCCTAAGTGGAACAGACTGGTCAAGATAAATAAGCAAAGTGCGTAGGGGAGGTAGATGGTGGGATAGGGGATGGCCTCTTGGAGGAGCTGGCTTTTGAAACCTGAAGGTGGTGGGTTGGGGTAGGAAATTTGGTTTATTATTTTTTTTAATGGAGGTACCGGGGATTGAACCCAGGACCTTGTGCATGCTAAGCACACACTCTACCACTGAGCTCTACTGTCCCCCTCAGGGCAGTGGTTCTTAATGCTGGCTGACTGTTAGGAGCACCTGGGAAGATTTAAAACAAAAGACCAATAAGTGTTCAGACGTCACCCTCCCCCAGATAATGACATCTGACGCTCTGGGGTGGGGCTTGGGCTTCTGTACTTCACAAAGCTCCTCAGATGGTCCTGATGGGCGGCCAGAGCTCAGAGCCACTAACCTGGTTGGAAGAACAGCTCAGGTAGAAGGAAGAGCAAATATAAAAGGCCTGAAGGTGGGGGGCCTGGCCTCTTCCAGGAAGAGGAGGAAGGCCAGTGAGGCCAGAATGGAGGGATTCGGGGTGGGGTGGGCCTGATGAGATCAGAGAGGGAGACAGGTCAGGGGTCCAGCTATGCTCCCACAGGATACTGGAAGCCAGGGTGGTGTTTTTGTTTTTGTTTTTAACAGCTTTACTGAGATAGAATTTATATACTATAAATCTATCCATTTAAAGTGTATAATCCAATGATTTTTGGTATGTTACATTATTAATTTTTAAAAATGGTAAAATGTATGTGACAAAATTTGCCCTTTTAATCATTTTTAAGTGTATAATTCAGAGGCATTAATCAGAGTTGTGTTTTGAACACATAAGTGTTTCTTTACTTCAGCATTCACAGACCACCTTCATATCGGGGTACATCAGGACACCACCTATATTATTACTTACTTTCTTTAATCCAGTGAAACAAAAGTCACTCATATTACTTCTAGCGTCACTGGTGTAGGTACGTTGTCCTGCATGCTGAGCTGTGCTGAGGGATTTCCATGCTGGAATCTTCCGGTCTTCATGATAACTCCACGAAGCAGGCACTAATCAGAGTCCCACTCTTCAGATGAGGAAAGTGATTTGCCGAAGGCCGCACAACAGGTCCATGCCAGGGGCAGGGTGCAGACCAGTCTGCCTGACACTGCCCCAGAGTGTGGCAATGTGGTAAGTTTACAAAATGCCTTCCTGGGTACCTTCTCCCTGACTCCTCTCAACTGCCCATGGGGGTGGATATTAATCCACTGTTTGTACAGGTTGGGAAACTGAAACTTGATGTTTAAATGTATTTAGAGCGGGATCAGGTTTTTAGTGGCAAACAACAGAATCCACTCTAGGTAGTTTGAGCAGGAAAGGAATTTATTAAAGGATATGAAGTGACTCCCTGATCTCTGGGAGGGAGGGCTGGAGAGACGGCCATGAAGCAGTATCCAAATTACATTGCAAGAACTTCTGTCACCTTCTGTTACCCCTGGGCCCAGACACTGCAGCTCTCACTAGGGATGCTTGGAGTTCAACCGCCTTCTTGCTAGGTTGAATTTCACACATCAGAATCCATCTCTATTGCTTTCACCTGTGGGTGTATCGGGACTGGCAAAGCCTCGGTTCCACATGTGTATCTGATCGACTAAGTCCAGGTATCATTTGGGTGTATTTGATTGGCTGAGCCTAGGTCATCTGGGTATATCTGATTGGTTGAGCCAAGGTCACATGCTTACAGTCTAACTGCAAGGGAAGCTGGGAAAGTGAGATTCAGGCTGCTTCCGGTGCAGATTTGTAAGGTGGGAAACTGTCCAAACAAAAGGCCTTGCGTTGACAAAAACGACAGGCACCCACCGCAGAATTGTCCAAAGTCTCTCTCAGGTGAGTTTTCCAGAGCAGGCTTCTCCCAGCTAGTTAAAACAGGAGGGTTTAGTAAGCCAACTGGTCTGTACTCTGTACTGTGGCAACTGGGCTAGGCTGGGACTACATTTCCCCGAATCCATTTCCAAATGGTTCCTAGTTAGAACTGACCAAGAGAGCAACTCTGGTGGGATTCTGAAGGCAAAAGGGAGGCGGCAGCCTCTACTCTTGCAGGGTCGCTGCGGTCTGATGTGTCAGACAGCTGCAGGCGTGCCAGCAGGCACCGGCGCGCCCTTGCCGTCCTCGGGGCTGCGTCCAGGTCTTTCTCCTGACTCGGGGGCATTAGCCCCTGGCCTGTCACCGGATGCTCGGCTGCAGAGGTAATGGTTCCCCCTCCGTTTCTCTACTGGTGCCCCTCGGCAGCCTCACTTTGGCGGCTCGAAGCACCTCACGGCCTCTCAGATTGCCTGGTTGGTGGCTCCGAAAGTCCACTTTCAGACCTCACTTCCCTACCTCCTCCCACAGCTATTGTAGAAGGTCTAATTCTCATCATAAATTACTTACCTCAAACACGTGGGTCGGATCTAGCTGCTTTCCTGATTGGGTGTGACTGACGTATTATGAGTATTTACAGAATCACAAGGAGCACTGAGGAAGCCACACAGCAGGACTGGGCACCTGGGGAGCCACTGTTGCCGCGGGCTTCTAAACCGGTATTTTCCAAACAATGGGTCACGGCATGGGTTTAGTGGATTGCGTCTTGTAAAAAGACAAGAGGATAGGATGGAAAATAACTATGATGTGTCACAGTCTTCTGGGTCGGCATCGCTTTGTGAAACATGTTTTATTCACACTCACACAATATACACACCTGTATTTATATGCACACATGTATATGTCTATGTTATACTGGGTCTTGATGTAATCTGCATTTCTTTTTGTAGAGGGACCAAAAAGGGGGCTTACAAACAAAATGTATTGCTCATGTCTGAATGCGTTTAGTGCTGGCAAAGGATCTGCGAGGGGGGCTCTCTTGTCACCCTCACATTTTGCAGCTGAGAGAGCTGAGGTTCGGGAAGGGGAAGTTCCCTGAACATGCAGTAAAAGAAAGAGCTGGGATTTGACCCAAGGCCCACGTCTCAACCATCATGCTCTCCCTCCTCTCCAGACAGCGCTGTGCGTGGTCGTGAGGATGGAACAAGTGAGGGCAGGTCAAGGGCTTAGCCCAGCGCCTGGGACGCAGTAGGCGGTTAGTAAATGTTAGAAGCTGGGCTTGTGTTTGCTGCGCCTCATTCAACCACACCAGGTGGCCAGTAGGATGCAAGGGCTGAGAGAGCGAGAAGGGCTGTGCCTCTGGTCCTAATACCTGTGGACTGGGGTGGGGGCCGCACAGGCCAAGAGACACCCCCTCCCCTACAGCCAGAGCTCACCAAACACTCATTTTTGTCTGGATATAAACGTATGGATATAAAAATAAATCTCAACATTTTTTCAAACAATTTAAACTATCTTTACAATGGTATTATTCAATATTCGAGCAGCTAACTTTTAACGTTGGGCTGAGTGCAGGAAGAAGTGTTTCCCCACCCCTGAGCTTGCCGGTTACTCTTAAGGCCATCATGCTGTTCTCTGCTGGGATCCCCCTCGTGGCCACAGCAGGTCAATTAATCCTTAATTCCCGGGCCTGAATACATCCTTGATGGCGCTGCCATTTCAGGGAAGCAATCCCCAAAGTGAGGCCATGGCCTGTTGGAGATGCTTCCGGAGTCCTTGCAGTGTTGTTTCCTGGCCTGACTTCAGGTGGCACCTGTGGGCAGCTGGGGCCAGCGGCGGGATCGCACTGCCCTCTTGTGGCCACCAGCAAGCATAGCCTCACCGGCGCTGGGCTGGTATTGTCACCAGGGCTGACAGTGCTCTGGGAAGAACGGTTGGTTGAGGGCTCTCAACTCAGATTCTCCTTTACCCAGAATGAACTACAAATCCAGGCAACATCCTTGAAGCA